GCGGCCATGGCTCACGGGCCCAGCCGCTCCGTGGCATGTGGGATCCTCCGGGACCGGGGCACGATCCCGTGTACCCTGCGTCGGCAGGCGGACTCTCAACCACTGTGCCACCAGGGAAGCCCCAGTGGGGCTACTTTGATAAGAAGCATAGTGGTGAGATCCAGATTAGGCAAGATTTGGTTATGGAACAAACCACTCTCACTTTTCCAAATTAGCATAAGAGGGGTGGGTTACCCAGACACTGGACCTAGGACCCTGGGCAGACGGTGGGGTCAGCGTTTGGGGCAGGAGGCGTAGCTCAGCTGGTGTCCGTGTCATATCTTAATTAATGGAACACATGGTTTTGCTTTTACTAAGGTCTCTGTGGGTTCTTGGGGGTGCTTACTGTGCAGCAGTACATACACAAAATCCCAAACTGTATCCCAAACTGAAAAGAAGAAAAGCATTACATTCTAATGGCAGTTTTAGACGTGAGAATAGTGCTATTTTTTCTGATGATCTTATCACTTTAAATTTTACCTCATAATTTTAAGATAACTGGAATCTCAGAGTGACTTTGTGTCTCCTGATTTTCACAGTGAAAGCGTTTTCCAGAGCAAGCAGATGTAAAGACAATAAAAGTCCACTTTTTTTGAATGGGCATAAGACATCTAAGTGTTAAGTTTCCATAACTAGCTTCATGACCAGGAAGTTCCTTAATTGTATTGTTATTTTCTAACAATTTTGTGGTTGTGGTTTGTACTACTAATCCACAGTAGATGTTTCTCTGGTCAAAAAAGAAAAAAAAAATGCAGGTAACTTCAATGGAAGACTGCGAATCCTAATACGATTAGGAAAATAAAATCTTCAGTGTGTTGAATACACATTAGCTTGCCCTGGGTATCATGCAGGGAAAGGATGGTGCTGACAGAAAGGCTTAATGCTGTGCTCAGCCCTAGCCATTGAATGTGAAAACTATGGGTGAGTTTTAATGTCAGTTCAACCTTATTGTCCATATTTTAAGGCATTTTCTTGACTGAATTTATAAACTTAGGGGTTTTTTACAATTTCTGTAGTTTGTCCATTATATGTTTGTCCAGTATATTTAAATTGTTTTCCTTAATACGTAATATTGTCGCATGATTCAAAAGGTGCAAAGAATGTCAGAGAAAGGTCTCCCTCCTTTTTTCTCCCCAGAGGCAACTCATGTTACCAGATTCTTTTGTATCTTGCCAGAACTCTTCTAGGCATTTATAAGCAAATATTTATAGGCATCTCCTATTCTTTTTAATCAAATAGTAGCACACAGTGTACATGTTGGACACTTTGCTTTTAACTTAACAACACCTCATAGACACTCTTTATATTAGAACTAGAGAGCCTTCTTATGCTTTGTGACTGCAGCATATTTGGTAGGATGAATGTGTTGTAGGGAGGAAGAATCATTTTCCTTCTGCCCTTCTGAGTTCTTAGCTGAGGCCCCTGTAATAAAAGACAGATGAAGAAGAGAAAAACAGAAGTACACTTCATGTATATGTGAGAGGTACCCAGGGAAAAATGAGTACCTCCACAAGGTGGCTTAGAATTCAGGATTGAATACCATCTTAATAGGGAAAGGGGAGAGGGGACATAGGCCTCTCAGGCCTTATAAAATCTTTAAGAAAGATGAATGGGCCCTCAGAAGAATAGATGGGAGCTATGATAGTTTGTGACAAAGTTTGTCTGGGTGTAGAATGGACTTTAGTTTCTACTTCTGTGATAAGAGCCAATCTTCCCTGGTTGATGCAACTCTTGGGGAGGGGATTTATGACAATTGTGTTCCTTTTGGAGGATCTGTCTTTAGGCAGATAAGGGGAGTTCAGAGAAAGCCTCTTTGCAGTTGAAGTATTTACAGCTCAAAATAATCAATATACCCAAGTGGCATATTTGGGGGTGCCGTATTCTGCTACACTTTAGGATGATATTTTATTTAACCATTCCTTTAAAAATGAACATTTAAAATATTCCCAGTCTTGGGAAATTTTAAAAAGTGATACAATGAATAGCCTTGCCTGTACATTATTCTAAGATGTGCTGGTATATTTATATAATTTCTTCGGTGCATAATTGTTAGAGCATATGTATTTTTAATGTTGAAAGGTATTAGTCAATTATTCAATAATTTGTGCCAAATAGCAGGGGAGGGAAGGAAAAATGCTCCGAAAGCCTAGGACTGTGGTATTTGAAAAGTCTCAAAGTGTTCTGACAGTACTGTATATTCTATTTCCCAAATATAGTTGGGGGTCAGAGTTATGCCCTGCTCAGCAATCACTGAGGCACTTTCCTTCACATTTCTGCTTTGAGACTAATGATAGGTATTTGGGTTTTATAGGAGCTTATGACCATTTTCCAACTATTGCACTGGAATGGAAGCCTAAAAGCCCTTCGTGAAACAAAGTGTTCCCGACAGGTGAGATTTTCCACTAAAAACAGGTTTGCATTGTATGGACTGAGCAGATGGCTTGTCATCTTCCAGGATATGTATCAGTCCAGTTGCATCAGGCACTGACCAAAAATGCACACTAAGAAGAATGTTGGCTGGGCATAGGCCTGATTTAGATACCTGTACTGAAGGCCAGAATGAAGGGATCATTAAGACAGACTTAGTTTCTAAGTTAAATACTGAATCTACTCTATGCACCTGTCCTGCCTGCTGAATGTGTGCCCTCTCCCACTCTTCAAGGCAGAAAGAAATGTGAGTCTGCACTGCTTCTGAACCTCCTCACTGAGAACAGGTAGAGTCGGTTGTGTAGCAGGAGGATTTTTCTCATCCCCACCAAATGTCCTTAAGGGACAACAGAAATGATTGTAAAGGTGGACAACCTGGTATTTCAGTCGCTCCCGTTTTTTGGTTTGGAAGTTTCTTCTTTATTTTTCAGAGACAGGGTCTCACTATTTCTTTGCTACCTATAAAAAGCACCCTTCTCCCTTTTTTTAGTAGCAAAGACAACCCCCGCTCCCATGCACTTAATGGTTCTCACCTACTGTCCCTCAAGATTTATTCTTCCTTTACCCCATTAGACTTTGAAGATGGTAGTTTGTTTTGAGAGTTTGCTAACAGGAATTTGTATGAGAAACAGAGCCTCTACTAGTCAGCAATATGAGGGTGGATGTAAGAGTTTTCCATGCACTGCAGCCCCAGGAGTTTTTAGTTGTTCTTTGCTTAGAAAGCCTGGCTTTCAAAATGTCAAAGATGGAAAAGAAATGAGTAGCTGACAATGGCTTTGGCTGTTCTTTTCTTTTCCTTTGATTTAATAAAAATCCTTTGAAATATGCCGGGTTGGTTATAAACACTTTTCCATGATTGTTTTTAATTTGTTAAGGTCATAAATAAATACCATATGTTCTTGAAAATAAAAGTAAACAATGCATCCGCTCCACAAGATCTTCTTAAAGAGCATCCATCAAACTTATACATGATGTTACAATGTATTGGTAAATTTTGAACATGAGAATTGACAGATAGTGACAAATTTTTAATTATTTGGAGAAAGTGAGAGACAATGTACATGAAGGTACCATTATGATATCAATGATGATAATACCTATATTCCATAATACATTTTTAAAGTTCTTCCCATAGTTTCTGTGAGCCATTCAGTCTGTCATCTTCCTTATGCTAACAACATAGCAGTTAGGAAGTTGATTCTCCTGGTGTCTAACTCTTGTCCTGATTCAAAGCTCCCTGCTTTCTGCAATGGGTGTGACCAAACCCAGTTCTGTCCGAATCCTTCCATATAATTGTTTCCCTTTTTATCTTGCCAGAGGAGATAATGCTGAGCAGAAGAGTTCAGTGAATGAGATAATGTTCATACCAATTGTTATAGGAATGCATTTTCAAAGGAAGACATATTTTCTAGCAAGGTCAGAGCTCTGTTCTGTGAACATTATTGGGTCATTCCTGGTGGTGGTGTTTTGATTCAACCTGGAGTGACCCTACTTTGTGTACCAGCTTAGCCCTCTATTTCCTTTAAGAGGTATGTCCTGAGATTTGGCTTCAGTTTGTGAACATCAGAGAGGTTTGGTTATTGGTAGAACCCCTGGGGGTGTGTTGGGAGTAGTGGAGGCACAGGAAAGGAGGCGTCAGAAGGCCATGAGCCCAGGTACCTTTGTTGCTCTTTACTGATACTCTGGACTTTGTTTCTTGGCTCCCAGGAAGTCATCTCCTACTATTCCCAGTATTCCCTAGATGAAAAGATGCGCAGCCACATGGCCCTGGACTGGATCATGAAGGAGCGGGAATCACCAGGAATTCTCTCCCAAGAGCTACGAATGGCCCTGAGGGAGTTGGAGGAAGCCAGGAAAGCAGGACAAGAACTACGGTTTTACAAAGAAAAGAAAGAAATCCTGAGTTTAGCCCTGACTCAGATCTACAGTGATCCTGACACTTCCTCACCCAGTGATGATCAGTTGAGCCTCGCGGCCCTTTGCAGCTATCACTAACAAGGCCAGGTCCCAGCTGCCCCCAAGGCGGGCAGAGGCCGGACTGTAACATTAGGAAGCTCATTGAAGGAGGTCATCAGAGGCTTTAGCAATAGATGCTGCCTGAAGGCTGTACTAATTCTCCCCACCCATTCCATTCATAGAATCTCAGAGTAGGAGGACACTTATAGGACCCAACATGTCACTCAATGCAATTTTCCCATCACACTCTCGATAGTTCCACCTCAGACTGAAAGGATGGAGACAGGATTGCTTGAAAAATATTTTCCAGGCCTGGCTTTAACCTGAAGCCTTGTTGACACGTGCCTTGCTAGATTATATATGTTGTTTAAAAGAATGGGTCAATGTAGCATCCCTGAAAAGAACACTAGCCAGGACTGGGGAAAATAGCATGATAGCAATTAAAAAATGCTTGGGATTAAATAAACAATATGGATTCTTTTAAAAAATATCCAGGGGTCAGAGTTTCTTCCTAAGCTTTGTAAGCTACAAGATCACTTACGCTCTGCTAGGTGTAATCCAAAACTTCAGTGAGGATTTTATCTGGACACCCCACTATCAAAGATTTTGAACTGGTAATAGTATGAAAATACTATATAAATGTAATGTGGCTTAAAATGTCATAGTAATAAAATTTTTTTTCAATCCACTCTTCCATATGGGGATAACTATCACCCAGGATAGTACCCTCACATGTATTCCTCAAGAAGAATTAATATCCATTTTTATGAGTCCTGCAATCAGTCATATGCATTTTTAATCTGCAAATAGATCAACTGATTTATTTTTATTTCTGCCACTTCTGTCATATATCTATAATGGAGAAAGTTACTGTCATTTCAAAGGTTAAAACATTTTGAAAAATCATTAGCATTTAACAATGCTTATATTCACATTTGATTTGTTTCTCATGCATTAGAGCAAAGGAATTATTAGCTGTCTTTGTTATTGTTCAAGAACTTAAGCCACCAGTAGCTCAAACGTAGTGTCATTTTTCAGTTTAAATTACTGGAATCTTCTTTAAAGAAGGGATAAAACATTGCCATCTCTTTTTCAAAATGGCTCGGATCAATCAACAGATTAGAAAACCAAAAGCAAATACAAACCAATTTTTAGATGGTTCCTGGTCACTCAGATTTAAGAATGGCAGCAGTGTCAATTTTAAACACTTACAAGTATTTCCCTATTTTTAACATGGAAAGGATTATCTTGCATTTACTCCAATAATTCAAATTTAAGAAAACAGTTTTCTCAATTTTAAATAAGGTTTCTTTTTCTTCTTGTTTAGGCAAATGCACATTAAGTTTCATGAAAGCTAAAACCATTATAATTACATTAAAGTTTACAAAAATGTGAGTTTAGCTTCATATCTAAATATCTACAGTGCTAATTGTCACTCCTTGAATCCCCATAAAACTGTATACTGAGTACTATATACTGAGCATATATTTTGGAATTAGCCTTGTTAATAAAAAATTAACTTCATACATCATATTTTTCACATCAGGGGAAAATTTAGCTATATATCTGCCCTACTCAAATGTCTTGAAAAAGTAATGCTATATAATATTAGATAAATTTTATTTAAAATATTTGTTTTAACAAAAAAAATCACATTTCTCCCCATAATGAGGCTAAATGTCACCTAGAAGAAATTTCCGAATAGGAATTAGAATTAATATTTCTAATTTGAATAAATTTTAAAATTAAATTACTTCCTATTTAAAGTAATTTTTTCATAAAGTCATTACTCGTTATCATTTCAGAAAAGCCACAACTTCCCATGTTGGGTGTGATTAAAGGTAGGTAGATCTGTACTGCATTTGCAGCCTTTAACAATGACCAACTCAAGCTGACACCATCTAATTAGATGCAGGAACAGGAATCAGCTGGGAAAATATTAAATGTATTCTCTGCCCTGCAATTAGAAAACTGTACCCATTCTGTACACTGAAAGCAGAGGTTCTGTCTTGGCCACTGTCAGCTTTTCCTGGCTGGTCAAAACTGCCTACTCTTCCTACAATGGTAGGGAAGTTTCAGCAAAAGAAGCAAAAGTCAGAATCTTTGCCACTGCTGCTCCCTTTGATGCTCATTTATCGCAAATCAGTTTCAGCTAAGACCTAATGGCTGTCAGTACATCACATAAATGTCTATAATCCTGGCCCTGAAAAGAGCAGGGTTGAAGAGCAAAGTAGGTTGTTATTATTTTTCAATTTCTGTATCTTGTTCTCAATAGCACACTGTGTTGGAGGGGCCTAGAGCGGAGGATTCTCTATTTAAATATATGGAGCTATGTGTTGTAACCTTTTGTGGTTATAAACCCTTTGAGAATCTGATAGAAGCTATGGACTTTCTCCTAGAAAAATAGCACGAAGCATATACATACAAAATTACACTGTTTCAGAGCGTATGTGGACCTCCCCCAAATCCATAGATTGCTCTGTCCAAGGACCCCCAGGTTAGAACTCTTAATTTTGAGCACATACTTACAGTTTCTTTTTTCTTTTTTTTTTGCGATACGTGGGCCTCTCACTGTCGTGGCCTCTCCCGTTGCCGGACGCGCAAGCTCAGCGGCCATGGCTCACGGGCCCAGCCGCTCCGTGGCATGTGGGATCCTCCCAGACCGGGACACAAACCCGTATCCCCTGCATCGGCAGGCGGACTCTCAACCACTGCGCCACCAGGGAGGCCCAACTTACAGTTTCTTAAGCTTTTCAGCAGGGATCCAACTAACTCAGACATCGTCCCATTAACCTATCTCTAAGATAAATGTCATCATCCTTAAATACAGTATTGCACTGTATTTTGACAAGAGATAGTTTAATTCTCACAAAACCCCAATACACCACATTGTTATCAAAAAAATAGCTTGAAACAAACTAGTCACTAAATTTGTGTGAACATGTTAGAATATTACAGATTTAATAAAGTCATTGTTCCTCTAATGATCAGAATTTGGCTGTCTATTTGTTCAAAAGATATAGTCCATTGATATGTTTGCTGTTAAATTCATTCACCTATTTCTAGAAAACGAAAAGAATCAAGCCATAGATATTCCTGAAATGCTGTACCTACATCAACGATGAATCTGGTCAGCTAGGTCTCAGGACAAAGAGAAAACATAAAGGTTTAACACCTTTCGGTTTCTTTAGGGAAAGCTTTTGAAGTCAGGAGTATTGTTGTAGTTGACTTTATCTCTGAAATGCTTCAGAGAGTTCTCAGTTATATCATGCCATGCCTTTCTTTCTTGCCAAAGGACAAAAGAAGCCAGACTAAGAATATTTTTATTATCCTTGACTATGTTTACAGGTAAACACTATTCAAGACATTATCTATTATATATTGTTGGTGTTTTGTTTTGTTTTGTTTTACCTTGCAGAAATGTAAATATCAGTCTTTCTTCTATGGTGTCCACCGTGTTAAAGAGCAAATATTGAGACTGTTTTTAGCCAGGGTTCCAGGAAAATGAAAATTATTTTCCCTACTACAGTGGTTTTCTTTGGCTGCCCATTAGAAATATCCAAAGAGCTTTAAAAGATCCTAACTGTCCAGACTGCATCCAGACCAATGAAATCAGACTTTCTGGAAATGGGACCCAGGCATCAGTATTTTTTAAAGCTCCCCAGGTAGTTCGAAAGTACAACAAGGTTGAGAACCACTGCTCTACCCAGCAAGTTCTGGCTCAGAGGTCTATGGTCTAACTAGTGGGAGCTGTTACTTAACTTGGCATTGGCTCCAAATTCAAAATGTTGAGCTCTTCTGATTTAGGTAGGAGCAAAACCTTTTGCTTGAGCAAGAGGCTTTCCTGGAGCCCAGAACTAAAGCAGAGCAAGCATGCATGTGCGCACACAAACACACACACCTTAGCAGGAGAGCCAGATTCTGCTCCAGGGTCCAGGCTTTCTTTCACAAATATGATACACAAACTAACTGCCCCAGAATCATCCTTTAAAAGTACAAGTTCCTGGGCTACACCCAGACCTGCTGGCCAAATTCCAGGAGAGAGTCTGGATTATTTATCACTCCACCAGGTGTTTCTGATCACACAAATTTGAGTTCTTTTGGCCTAGAGCTACCTAGCACATTCTTTAGTAGGCAGCACAGCCCTGGCCTTCTGATATAACTAGCCTCTTGGCAGAGAGAGCACAGAAAGGAATAAAGGGGAGAGGGAAAGTTTGCCTCTTTAGCCCGCCTGGAAGCTAGAGAAGAGCAGAAAGGGCAGATATATAGCTGCCTTTTCTCTCCCAAAAGAGCTCCCACTCTTTTTATCACTTTGGCTCCAACATTTGGAATTACTTTTAATCCCTTTACTAGAAACCGTGAAAATCTCCATTAGCTCATGGTTAAAGTCACTTCTTTAAACCTGACTAAACCCTGGTAGCACTTTCTTCGCTGGAGCAAAGTAGGTTGTGGGAAAGGGAAGCAGAAGTTTCTTCCTGCGAGCTGTTGATTCTCTAGTGATTGTTGGTTTTCAGGTGAAAGTCCCAAATTGCGATCTATTTTTAGGCAGTTCCCAATTTTAGCAGCAATTCCGTGTCACAAGTCCATTTGTAAGTCAGTTAGTTGTTCAATCCTGAGGATGCATTCTTCTATAGGAGCAAGGTCATAAATGGTGGCCAGTTTCCTAGACTAGCTTGTATAAACAATAGCGTACCTTAAATATTGATTTATATGGGACCTAATATGCTCTAGGTTGTGGGCAGGGGAGAATAGAATAAGGGGCAGCTGTGGGTCTAGGGCATATTATTGTGGACCTACCTCCTGGGGGCATATTCCTTAGTCTCAAACTGGTTCTCCAAATAGTCCCCTTATTTTCTCTTTGTCCCCCACCCCAAGATTTAGCTTGATAATACCCCACCCCCTGCCGTCACTTGTTGCTTCTTCTGATCATGGTTTCTCCTATTGCTGACTTACTAAAGAAGTGCTTTTCTCCTGCCTTTCCTACAAACACTTTGAAACTTTCTAAGAATTGGTATCACTAGAAACAGGAACATTGGATGACCTAAAAATGGCAGCTACTAAGCCACTTTGCAGGTCCTGTGGGGAAAGACACAAGCACATGAAACAGGACTGCATTATTGTACTCATCCATGCCCCTCAAGTTTCCTGCTTCTTTGGTGTTCTCATTTGGCTCCACAGGCATTGCCCCATCCT